TGCAGCAATTACCTACTCCTTCAGCTTCACTTCTGCATCCTACTCACTGGCAGTTCTTGAACTGGGAAGGTCTGAGCCTTTGCACACACTATTTCCTTGGCCTCAACACTCATATCTCCTCTTCACTGGGCTAACTACTCATTTTTTGGGACTTGGCTTAAATATCGATTCCAAGAAAGACCTGCCTTGACCTCTACAATCTAAGCTATATTCTCCTGTTATATACTTTCTTATACCCTCTACTTTTTCTTCATAAGAAGAAAAATCTTTTAACTGTAATATTCACATGATCATTTATTTAATGTTCATCTCCCTAACAGACAATACACTTCTGGAAGGTGGGAATAGTGGCTATCCTTTTGCCATCAAACCCCTGATGCCTAGCATCTTTCCTAGCACAGGGTAGGTGCTATGTAAATATTAGGATTAGGCTATTTCCAAAATTACAGATTCTATTGGGAGGCATGTATATGTTGGGTGAATGTGTGAAAATTTCGCCAAACAGGCATGGAGTTAGAAACTGTGAGGGGACCCTGCATTTTATGGAGATAATTATGTATGGTGTTTGCTTTTTGCTGGGAGTATGACTTTTAGTATATAAATTTTACAAGGACATTTTAGAGCTGGACTAATCAACTGATTTTAGAATCACCATCTTGTCTTTGGCATGCATGTAGTTGGCTGTAAATGAGTCTGTAAATTAAAGAGGAATAATTTAAAGTTGATGGACGAAGGGGATCAGCTGGACTGAGATGGTCCTACATTTATGGCAGGCCACTTAATTGGGCTTTGGTGGGTTGGGATAGGATGGTGAGATAGCTGAGGTGAGGGTGGAAAGGTGATCTGGTCTTTCTTGTTCTATTTGAATATCCTGGGTAGGGAAGGCTTGGCCCCAGCACTTCATACTTTCTAGAGGCCTTTTGAAAGAATTTCAGTGAGTTTTCTTAAGAAAATCCCTACTCTTCTCCTATATTTGCACCCCTTCCCTTAAGGAAAAAAGTAAAACAAAGAAAACAAACTGGAGTTCTCAGAATGAGTTCTGACTTTGGATTCTTATTCTTGACTTTCTGTGGCCACTTTTTGTGGGGTGGAGGAAGGAGTCAGTTTTAAGACTTACTCATTCTGTCATCAACTTGAAATCTGTTTCTATCCCCAGCTTTCCAGAGTTGAACTTCGATCACTGACTGTTTTGGGGGTCTTTTGAAAGAATTTTAATTTAAAAATAAAAGGCACAAAAAGGTAAACAGATTTGTTGTCGAGAATTCATGTAGTACCCAGATAAAGTACAAAGGTAAAGTCCCCTCTCTGCCCATTTCAGTTCCCCCAGAGCCTACCCTTGTTTGCAGTCTTTGCTGTGTTCTTTTAAGTCAGTTATAGAATTTCTTGTGTATATTTATGCAATAAGGAATAAAAACCACAACAACCTGGATCTGCTCTGTTTCAAACTCACTTGTTTAAAAATCTACTGAGTGCATTTGCATTTTTCTTGCTTCTGTTTCCTGGAGTGTAGCTAAGCAGCCTGTAACACTCTCAACAACTGGACTTTGAATTCTCACAGGGCCATAGTGAAAATGACCGAAAGCCAGCAGTGCAGCTGTCAAACTGCCTTTATGTATCTTGTAGCTTGTGCACTATTAACAAAACCGAAAGCACTGGAGAGTGAGTGCTTAGTGCCAGCCAAAATATCACATTCTTTAATGATGTTACTGGGGGCTGACTCTTTTAAAGTGTAGTTTAGCTCTTAAAGTGAGGCCACCTAGCTTTGAATTCTAGTGCTACCACTTTCCATGTTGATTGTGGCAAGTAGCTTAACCTCTCTATGCCTTAGTTTTCCTGTGTGTAAAATGGCACAGTCATGCCTACTTCATAGGGCTTGTAAAAATGAAAAGACACGGGCTGGCCCGGTGGCGCACTGCTACAGTGCGCTGCTTGGGAGCGCCGCGGCGCTCCCGCCGAGGGTTCGGATCCCACATACAGACTGGTTCCCGCTCACTGGCTGAGCGAGGTGCAGGCGCAGCGCCAAGGGTTGCGATCCCGTTGCCGGTCCCGGTCCAGTACGGGCGCGACACTGAGGGTTGCGATCCATTGCCGGACACAAAAAAAAGGAAAAAAAAAAAAAATGAAAAGACACAATGACGCAAAGCACGTAGTAGGTACTCAGTACATATCAGCTATGAAGGGTATTGTTGTTATAGTAATTATTACCACTTGTATTTAATGATTTCATCTTATAAATAGACTGCCAGTGGGTAAGTTGTGGTTTATGTTTCTTCTCTTTCTTTCTTTCTTTTCTTTTTTTTTTTTAATAAAGACCCAACAACCAAACCATCTATGTTCTAGAGTGGAAATAAAGAACATTCTTCCCTATAATGAGAATGCAACTCTCAGTGAATCCTGTTAGGGAGGAAAAAAAGCCTCCTGGGTGGTTGGTATTCCTCCTTTCACTTTTGACGTGATCATACCAAGAAAAAGCAGAAACATGGGTGGGTGAATACATTTGATGTTTGCCCACATAACATGAAGAGCTGACTGTTAGTTTCTAGAGGAGTATGAAAAAAGAATCCTGAAGTGAATAGTTTTTATTGTATTGTAAATACAGTGGAAATATTTTGTGTTTGAATTCTTCAATTAAACCCTTGAGACTCATTTTATTTACATTCGTGGTCTGACTGGTAAGGTGGTACATTGTAGAGCAACTGGAAATGCAGAAAAAAACATAAGCTGCCTAATTCCAGTGGTGTGACTGTTAACATTTTGGCATATTTTTAATACATTTTATGTATTTCAAACTTAATTTGGAATTCTATGCTTTTTTATGTAGCCTGTATTTTTCATTTACTAACTTACTCTATCATTAAATATTCTTTTACATAATAATTTTTGAAATAACTGCATGGTATTCTACTGTATGGATGATATTCTACAACAGATTAAAATCCTTTACACATTATGCAACATTCAGAGTTATTTCCAGTTTTTCACTGTGGCAAACATCCATGAGGCTAAATCTATCCATTATGTAGTATATTTCCCCATAAGCAGTGCCCCTGACATTTGATGTCATTCTTTTAATTATTTTCCAATGATACCTTGTTGTTTAACTTTTCATTTCTTTGCTCACTAGTGAGGGTGATACTGTTTATCTGCTCTCTGTATATTTAACAATTACTTGGTATTCCTTTGTGAATTTTCTGTTTAGGACCGTTATGCATTTTGGTTAGAGTATTGGTCTTCTTGCAGTGGAAAGGTATTTATAAAGGAGGGCTATTAACCCTTTGGCAATTGTTACAGTGATTTTCTTGTTCTAATGTCTGGTCAGCACCACGCTCAGCCAGCGAGCTAACCGGCCATCCCTATATGGGATCCGAACCCGGGGCCTTGGTGTTATCAGCACCGCACTCTCCCGAGTGAGCCACGGGCCGGCCCGTTCTAATGTCTAGTCATGGCCAGTTTAAAAAATATTTATTAGACAAATGGCCAACAATGTTTGAAAGAGAAACATATCCTTATTCCCTAGTAAATCAGTTCTTCAGATTTTTTTTATGTTTTCCTCATTTATCTCTATATAAATGTGAGTCATATAATTTACAGATTATTGAATGAAAAGTATAGGCAAATTTTGTATTCTGACTTATTTAAGAGTCATGTGCCTGATTCTGATAAAGCTCTGTCTAAGGAATGCAGTGTAGTTCAAAAACTTCATTCCCAAGAAGTTCATATGTTTAAAACAAGCCACCACTTAGACCTGCTTGGGTTTGCTACCCCCCAACCCCCCACAAATATTTGAAATGATAAAAATAATAAGAATTATTATCTATTCAAGAATTGTGTGTTGGTCAACAAGACACCTGATGGATTTTATGACCCTGTAGGGACGTGGCATATGTAAACACCTGAATTGTTTACCTATATAAGCCTCTCCCCACCAATTTGCCTTTCCCACTGCCATCCTGAGAGAAGGAAACCTAAGGGACATGTGTTCTGACCCCCGCCTTGCCCCTGTCTCCTTGGCAGCTGCTTCCTGAGGCTCTCCCAGGTTCTGTTCTCTTCTCCAGCCTTTGTTCAGCATGCTTACTGAGGCTCACCATGTGGTCAGGGCTGCCAGGCACTTCTCTCCAGCTGCCGAGGCCACACCAGAGGAAATCAGTAATGCACATCCTCTCTGGGTCTGGCATTCAAATTGTTTCACTGCAGATATTTAAGTACTCCCATGTGCTAGGCCATAGGGCTACAAAAATGAACAAAATAGGGGTTATGACATGAAAGAGGCAAGTACCCTTAGGGGATGCAGACAAGTAAACAGTCAATGGCAGTCTCAGGGACAAATACTCTGAGGCTTATTTTATGGTGTTTTAAGAAAGGAAAAGGGCAGGATAGGCAGTGGTTGTCTTGTGTCCTAGCCACTTGCACATAGAGGCTTTCGGAACTGCACCTCCCCATCCCACCACCTAAGAGTGGAAGGACTGTCTACTGAGATTTGCTTATACCAATAGTTGATGTGGTATAATGGTTAGGAGAAGAATCTTAGAATGGGTCAGATCTGGGATCAGAACGAGAAATGCCATCAGCAGATCTTTAGGCAAGTGACTTGAATCTCTTTGAACCTCAGCTTCTTCATCTGAACCATGGGGACAGTGCCTGCTTATGGGCTGTGTAGTGAGTAAATGAGAGAGTTATAATAGTGCCAGTTACAGGAATAATGCTCACTGCCTGCCTGGTAGCACTGTTTCTGCATTGGAGCAGCCTTCAGCAGATCATTAACACCAAATACATGGACTCTTCTGGCCTCCTCTGAGATCAGAAAAGAACTGAGAAAGAAATGGTCTTGTCTGACATCCTGTCTGGTCCCTGGTGATGAGATATGTTACCAGGGTGTGCTCTGAAGGTGGGAGGGGCTGGAACAGACGGACTGCTTCTCCAGACTCTGAGCAATGCAGATGAGAAGGTGAGCCCGCCCTATGTGGGCCTGGCAGACTAGCCTCTCCTCGTCTCCTCACAGGATGGATCCCACAGCTTATGCTGAGCTGTTGAAAGAATCTGGCAACCAGGTTTTTAAGAATGGGAATTTCTCTCTGGCCATCAGAAAGTATGATGAAGCCATCCAGATTCTCCTGCAGTTATACCAGTGGGGGTAAGTGTTTGGATTTTCATCCCACCTTTTCTTTTTTGGTAGATGGGGGTTCTGTTGCTTATGTTTTCTTCTCATTTCTTAATCATACCACTTGTTTCTGTTTCATTCTCCCTCACTTCCTGTTTATCTTCTCTGTATTGTCAGCTCAGAAACTGGACGGAGACTCTGAGTGTGTAATAGGGGAAACGAAAAGTGAAACACAGGACTGTCGATAAACATAAAAAAACTTCCCCTCTGTCTGGCTAAGGGATCAGAGTTCCTGGGATAGCTGAAGTCTCCAAACCTCCTCCTTGTCATTCATTTCATTTTCTTAATTATCCATGCCATTTACTCCCTGGCCACAATGCACACCACCTCTTTCCCTGCCACTTCAGCTTCTAGTAGACCTGTTCTCAAAGATTGCAGTGTCACAACTGGCTTAAATGATTGAGGTTACCACAGAGCTTTTGTTTAGGTAGGTTGTAGCTATCAATACAGTCCATATTAGAACTTAAAACTGAGAAAAAATTTAAATTATATATTTATTTTTAAAAAATCAAGTAAAGCCAGTATACGTTATATTTTATGAAAAATAACTATTTTCCAAACCAAAAAATTTAGTAAGAAGAGTGGCAAATTTTTGCAAATCTCTTTAATGTCTTTCTCAATAAGGCAGCTAGTTGGCTTCTTCTACCTCTGCATCGTCTGTTGCTATATCACATGTCATGTAGCCTCTGGCAAACTCCCCGTAGGCATGTGAGAGATTAAGTGTGAAAAAGGCATAATGCCTTAGTATTATTGTATTCATTTCCTGTTGCCAAAGTAACAAATTACCACAAATGTAGAGGTTTAAACAAATACACATTTATTCTCTTATAGTTCTAAAGTTCAGAAGTCCTAAATGAGTCTAACAGGGCTAAAATCAAGGTGTGTGTTGGCAGGGCTTGCTCTTTGTGGATGCTTTTTGTTCAGGGAGAATCCATTTCCTTGCCTTTTTCAGCTTTGAGTGGCTGCCTCTATTCCTTGGCTTGTGGCCCCTTCTTTCATCTTCAGAGCTCATCATTCCACCCTCTGGTGCTGTCATCACATTGCCTACTCCTCTGCTGCAGTAGTGCCTTCCTCTGTCTCCCTCTCATAAGAACCCTTGTGATTTTATCCTAACCCAGGATAACCTCCCCTTCTCAAGATCTTTAAGTCAATCACATCTACCACATCTTTCATTAATCATAAATTCCTTTTTTCCATGAAAGGTAACATTCAGCTTACCATGACTGTGAAAATATTTTGACCTTGTGGACCACCTGAAATGGTCTTGAGGACCTCTGGAAGTCCCGGATCATTATTTGCTAACAGTTGTCATAGAGACAGCAGAAGTTGGCACCTGGGGAGAGGGGGTGGTGCACACAGCCTAGGCTTGTACTGAGCAACCACATAGAATTAAATTACTGAAACATGCTACCCTTCCTTCCCTCCTAACACCTTGGCATCTACACTCTGGTTGAGTGTAATTGAGTTGAGTTGAGTGTAATTGGTTTGGACCTGTAGTTTCTGTTCTCCCTCATCCTGGTACACATTAGAATTGTGTCAGAGCTGGGTCTAGAGTTCTTCATTCAGGGCAAAACATTCAACTTTCTTAAAGAAGAAGTGTTGTATAGCATTTGGTTGTAGACTGACTCCATACCATGTGGTGCTCAAATCTCAGCTCCACTACTTATTACCTGTCTGGCCACTAATGGGACTTTAGCGTGGACCCTGACATATTGCCTTTCATGGAACCTTCCTGACACTTTTTCCCTTTGCCTACCACCTACTGCTTCCCTTCCTGCACTGCCAGTTAACATAGAGATTCGGGTGCATGTGACTTACTGAGTGAGCGCTCTCAGGAGAAGGTGACTGAGAGGAGCAGGATGGTGTAGGGGACTGCTCCAAGTGGGGAAATGGTGTCTAAACTGGAGCCAAATCCAGCCTGATCCCACAGGGAGCTCTGAAACATGAATTGTACCACAGAGCTGGTCCTACTTTGAGGCAAGGGGGCTAACTTTTTGATTACTATGTCAGTCAGTCATTGGTTGTAGGCTTTCTAATCCCTGGAGGTTGTCCTAGGGAGTGGGGTTATATTAGTGTACTGGGGCTACTGTAACAAAATACCATCAACTGGGTGCCTTAAACAACAGGAATTTATTTCTCACAGTTCTGAAGGCTGCAAAGTCCAATATTAAGTTGCCCCTGTAAGGGCTCTCTTCCTGGCTTGCAGATGGCTGCCTTTTCACTGTGTCCTCATGTGGTGGGGAGGGAGGGAAGGAAGGAGGGAGGAAGAAAGGAAGGTGGGGGGGGAGAGAGAGAGAGAGAAAGAGAAAGAGAGAGAAATAAGCTCTCTAGTGTCTTATAGGGCACTAATTTCATCATGAGGGCCCCACTCTCATGACCTCATTTAAGCATAATAACTTCCCAAAGGCCCCATCTTACTGTCACATTGGGGGTTAGGGTTTTAACATATGGATTTGGGGGTTTCACATTTCAGTCCATAACACAGACATAACTTCCTGGGGAGAGGGCAGCTCTGTTTAGGCTGAGGATAAATCTCTGGAGAATGGGGTGCTGAGAGCCTCTAGCTGCAGCTGACAGTCACTGCAGCCGCGAATGGCTGTAAGGGCCGGGGTGGCTAGGGTGGACACCATGGTATCTGCTACACTTGCAGTCCTGGCTCTTTTACTAATCATCGCTGCCTGCCCCACTGCCTCTTGTGTGCTTCTGGAGCCTCACTCCTTTACCTAGAGGAAGTGATGGTGGTGAAAGGAGCTGGACACACAAAAGACTGAGGATGGGGACAGTAATAGAGATGATTTTTACTTTGCTTTACTTTTGTGCTTATTTGCATCATCTAACTTTTCTGCAGTGATCTGTATTATTTTTGCAATTAAAATATTAAATAAGGGCTGACCCCGTGGCTCACTCGGCAGAGTGTGGCGCTGGGAGCGCAGTGGCGCTCCTGCCACAGGTTCGGATCCTATGTAGGGATGGCCGGTGTGCTCACTGGCTGAGTGCGGTGCGGACGACAGCAAGCCAATGGTTACAATCCCCTTACCGGTCACGAAGAAGAAAAAAAAAATTAAATAAAAAAGAAGTCATACACCTTGCTTTTCTCCCTCATGTGTCTTATATTCCAGTGGCACCTGGACTTCTCTTGACATATTGTGGGATATTTTGCATCTTCCTTCTTTTTCCAACCTAGTTTCTTCACAGCTTTGTAGCTGTATTACCCCTAGACCCAAGCAAGAGAGGCCCCTGCCTGCCATGCTTTAAAGGGCCCCCCTTTGGCTGTGCCCCTTTACACAAGCAGTAGTCTGTGGGACTGGGATTTCATGCACCCACAGCCCTTGCCTCCCCTTTGGTCCATGCTGTGGGTACCAGGACCCTGGAATCCCCTGCCCATAGACCCTGCTCTCAGGGCCTGCACAGGCCTCTTACCCATTGCCTGTTCTTTTGAGAGCTGGCCATGGAGATGGTGTGATCAGGCATTCTGAAAGGCCATTCCTGTGATATAGGTGCTGCATCTGTTCAGCACGAATGTGCATGTGGAGTGCTTCACACCATGTCTGAGCTCTGTAAAGGCTTGGTGGCAACTTTTATCCTGTCCATCCTCAGGACCAGTCACCATTTGCAGCAGTATCTCCAATGGTCTCTAAAAAGTGAAGAGATCTATGGGGATCAGTGGGAAATGGAGCCATGGTGTTGAGAACATTTGTCATTAAAAGGTAGGAGCAAGGATTTGGGAGTGAGGAGGGACAGATGTGTACATTGTAAATACTTAAAGCTTTCTAGAGGCCTATGAGGAACTGATCTAACAGGCATAATTGAGACATTTACTGCTAAATCCCCCTTCCTGATGGCAGCAGCCAGCACCAGAATGTGGCCTTCAAGGATTGTTTTCTGTATTTGCTTTACAGAGCATTGGTTTCTTCTTTCTCACAGGGTTCCCCCGAGGGACTTGGCTGTGCTGTTGTGCAACAAATCCAATGCGTTCTACAGCCTTGGGAAATGGAATGAGGCATTTGTCGCTGCCAAGGAATGTCTCCAGTGGGATCCAACCTATGTGAAGGTATGGGGTGATGGTAGCTGGGGGTGATGACTGCTGCCTCCTTCCTCTTAACCTGTCTGTTTCCCTCTCTACTTTTAAAAATGGACATGCTAGGAGTGCTTCTCCAACTCTCTTTGCACAGACAGAGATGCCCATAGGGCATATGAGCATTATCTGGAGGAGTAAAAACAATGATGAGAAAGTGTCCAAATGTACTTGTAGGAGAGAGGAGAGATTGGTCTGCTGGCGGATGGTGTGCAGTGGAGATACAATGGAAATATGGGGGAGCTCATTCTGTTCTGATGTAGTTACACCAAAACCCTTAACCTGTTCATGTTCTTTGATGTTTGCAAACTTCATTTTAGGGAAGCTTTACTTCAAATGCAAGCTGGGTGGATGACACAATGTTGATTCTTCAGAAAGCACTTTCTTACCGTAGAAATCAGCCCTTTTGGAGGGATCACCTGTAAAGGATCAGGGAAGTTTGAGAGGCCAGTAAGACCGTTTAATGTTAACAGAGGTCAATAAATGATCATTCAATCATTTTCTCAGCTAAAATGCCCTGAGTGCTCACTCTTCAAGGCATCTTTACTATTCTTGGTGCCTCAGACAGGCAAAAGAAGGGGAAGAAGCCATCCCAGCCCTTGAGTAACTTGCACTCAAGCTGGGTAGAGGAATAGCATGCACTTAAATCAGAGACATTAAATTAAATAACAGTTCTGGAGCCATTTGAAGCAACAGACAATCAAGTGTCAAATTAATGGTATAGACAAGTCTCTCTTTATAGAGAGGCTCCATGATAAAGTGGGAAAGCTCAGGCCTTTCTGTCCCATGTTCTGCTGTGTACTGTATGGGTGTATTAGTCCATTTCTGTTGCTTATAATTGAATACCTGAAACTGGGTAATTTATAAAGAAATGGAATTTATTTCTTACAGTTTTGGAGGCTGGGAAGTCCATGGTCTGGGGGCACATCCGGTGAGGGTGGGAACTCTACAAGGTCCAGTGGTGATGCAGAGTATCACATGGTGAGAGAATGGCAAGAGCTCTCTCATGTGCTCTTTATAAAGCCAGCAGTCCATGCCCATAATAACTCATTACTCCATGAATGGATCAATCCATTCATTAAGGCACAGTTCTGATGATCCAATCATTTCTCAAAGGCTCTATCATTCAAATATCATAATTGGATTTCCCACCCTCTTAACACTATTACAGTGGGGATCAAATTTCTAACACATGAACTTTTGGGGGACACATTTGACCCATAGCAATGGGTTTCAGCACTTGGATGAGTTACTTTTCTCTCTTTAAGTCTTAATTTCTTCAGCTATAAAGTGAGATAATGCCTCTGCCTTAAAGTTGCTTTGAGGATTAATGATTACGTTGTTGACACTCAATAAATAGGAGTTTTATGTTATTATGTCTTCAGTGGTCTATATTTTGTGTGTGACTGCTAGAAACAGACGCAATGGGCAGGAGGTGGGGAAGTTTGACCTGTAGATTGCCCCAACCCTGAGAGAGGGATTTTGGTATTTTACATTATAAGTAGGCACTGACTCCTAAACCTCATCTATTGGATGATGGATACTTTAGAATTTATTGGCTAGTTTTGAAAATGGGAGTGCATTCCTGAGAAATTCTTCCCAAAGGCATTTTAGCATGTTCCCATACTCTAACTAGGATAGGATGGGGAGTAGTTAGGTTTGACCACATCCTTGAGGTGTAGCCTGTGGCTTGTCCCAAGCAGCTTAGGGATTCCTAAGTGATGCTACAGGGTTGTTCCTTGAGTGGCCAAACCTGCGGCAGCCCGTGACAGCACAGCAACCAGGGCCTCTCCATTCTTAACCAGAGCTCCTGGGTGTCTCTCTCCTCCTTCACCTCCAGACCCCCTGCCCTGCTGTCTTCTGTAGGGGAGGAAAATTTTTTTTTTCTCTACCCTCTTTTGGTTCAGTGGAGACTGACAAGAGACAGATTAACAGGAGAAAAGCATACAAATTTTATTTGATGTTAACTTTTATGTGACATGGGGACCTTTCTAGAAAAGAAGGGAGGACCCCAAATAGGTGGATAGGTCTGAGAGCTTATATACCATTTTAAACAAAGAGTGATAAATTGTGAACAAGACAAAGGGAAAGGATTTTTAGGCTTCCAGGGACTGCAAACTACTGTGGGAAGGTAAATATATGGGAAAAACTAATGGAAGATAAAAGCTGTCTTAGCAGTGTTTGTGGAGGTCCATCTTGGTGCTAACTTTCCATCTTCTTCAAGGCCATAAAACTTCCCTGAGAGAGGGGATTTATGGTAGTCTTTACTTCTTAGGAGTTTCTGCTTTTAGTCACTTAAAGAAAGCTCTGGGGAGGGAGGCTTTATGCATTTGTTGAATCTCAAATGCCTTTGGCTTAAATTAATCCTATGCCAAAGTGGCGTATTTTGTGGTGGCGTATTCTGATCCTCTTTACTTCTCTTCAAAATAATGAATGAAACTTAAATCTGAGGAAGGCAAAGAAATGGAAGATTCTGTACCAGCTTGCTTTGTTAGGAAAAAAACTAAAACACAAACACATTTTCTCCTCCTTTTTCTGATTGTTATCTGAGGTCTTTAGACTTTCAAATGAAGGTTAAAACAAATGAATAAATAATCAGAGATTTGGTGTTAAGTGGAGTTTTTAAGTGCTTGCTTTTTTACAAAGCCAGGTGGTGAACACCTTCTGTTATCTCAGACAGAAAATTACTTTGGTGAATCCCTGGTGCTGATTCAGATGATCAATATGGGGAAGGCAATATCATCTTATTCCTGCTTGGGAGTCCTATGGTATACGTATAGGCAAAATTAGATCATTTTCCTCTATTAATCATTGCAATTTTCTTCTCTCTACAGAAATTAAAAAAAAAAAATTTTTTTTGCCTTGTATGTATTGTTTATGATGTGGAGCTCAGTACATCGCAATGCTTGTCATTACAATTTTTTTCTTATATACCCAGTGGAAATTGTGTTTACTTTGATTGAAAGGGGCAGGGAACAACTTCTGTGTTTACATGGCAATCTCATTCTTTTCCTGTACACTAGTCATAGGATTTTTTCATTCCTCTCTTCGGGCCTAGGCTGTGATTTGAAGTATAAATAAATAAACCACACATGTCATTGGAACCAGGCCTGCTTCCTTCTCTCTGTGTTAGATGTTGTATAAGTCATAGATTTGAAAGTTATTATTTTCCTGGCAGTTAAAAAATGACAGGAAAAATGTGGCACAGAATATGTATCCAGTGCTTGTTAGAAACCCATATTTACATAGAAGTGAGATTTCTTAAGTTGGATTTCCCCATGTTACCAATCTTGCCTTTTCCTTCTGCAGCAGGTTAGAAGAGATGGGCTGCTTTACAGTTGTGCTTTTTTTCCTGTTGCAGGGATACTACCGAGCTGGCTATTCCTTACTGCGGTTGCTCCAGCCTTATGAAGCCACTCGCATGTTTTTTGAGGGTCTGCAACTTCTGCAGGGCAGCCAAGACCAAGCACAGGTTGCTGATTTCCTTGTTGGGGTCTTCACCACTGTGAGCAGTAAGTTGGAACTGGGAGAAACCTTTTTTTTTTTTTTTTTTTTTCCCCAAAGTCCTTGTTATTTTATTTGAATGGCTCCTGGGAACTCCGACTCCTGGGGAGATAATTCCAGGATGTTTCTTTGTGGCTGATTTATGTAGTTTGAATGGAACTGGTTTGCACATTAGAAAGCATTTTGAGAGCTTTGGTGGCTCATACCTTTGTAAAAACAACTAAGTCCTTTTGTACAAATGATTTAAAACTTCCCAAGTTTTGTTTCAGATCCACATTTTCCACATTGCTGTTCATAGAGTTCCCTATGTGTACTATATATCGTATGTGATTTTTGCTCTTTTCTGTGATTTTCATATGTATTTCTCCAAACTGTTGAGAAAATGTTCTTGTTTGCTATGAAAACAACCTGGAAGGGCCAACAGAGGGTCCTGTGAAAGGTGATAACAGATACTCAATGTCTCTACTGTGATGTTCACTAGCTGGCACAGTAGTTTCAGCAGCTGACCCGTGCACTCAGTCTAGGAGGGACATACAGGGACACCTTTTGCATCACTGTGTTAGATTACTACTCCAGTGATCCGGCCTGTGAGATGGCTTATCAGTGACCTAGGTTAGCAAAACAGGAAACCTATAAAGCACAGTGTAATATGCTCCCTGCCAGTGATGGTGCAGTCTAAAGTCTTACCAATAACCAGGCCATTGTTTTCAAATATTGCAGTTAATCAAATTTAAATTGCACCAATTTAAGATGTGCCATTAATTTATGTTTTGCCAGTGAGAGACAATATTGATTATAAGACATGTCCCAATTTCAGAGATGTTAAAATGTGAAAAATGGCACATGTTAGAATTGCTAAAAAATGGTCTTTGGCTTTCAAAAGTGGGAAAATCACTGCCGACAGTTGATTGAACTGTTATTGATTCAACTCTTCCCATTGCTATTGTGGGAAAACAACTTCTGTGGTCTGTGGATGGAATCCTACAGATTTTGACAAGTTTGACACAGAGGAGTTAGAGAAGTAGCAGGCAGAGGGGAAGGGGTTAGAGTCAGGCACAGCCATGTCCCCTAGCCAGAGAAGTAGAAGCCAAGTCCCTTAGACAGAGAAGTAAAAGGTCTCTAGACAGGTACTGATGGGTCACAGCCTTTTGCCAACAGTGGCCAAAAGTGGCATCCTTTTCCTCCTAACCTAATGGCTTGGCCCATTCCCTGCACTTCCTCACTGTCATTTCTCCGTCTTCTAAAAGTCATGGTTGTGTTAGAAGCCAGGCCAGAGTTCTGAGAATTCCAAACAATTGCTTCTTGGTGACTGCCCTTCAGATAACCTGGACGGTTTCCATTCTGTCCCCACCCTGAAAGGGGACAATTAACAGGACTTCTTAAGGCAATGCATTTGATATTTTTCTACCAAAGTACTCCTTTTTGGATGGTGGATGTATGCCCATTGCCCAATTTCTAAATTTAGAAAGATGTATTTATGGAAATTTTGTATCTTTTCATACAATATATATTTGTTTTGATATTTACTTATTTTTTGAAATTAATAACACTGGAAGAGGTACCATGTTATTCTGACACTTGACTTGTCCCCCTGGACATTCTCTTTGAGAAATGTGTTTGGAGGATCATGAGGTGCAATAGGTTGATGGGCCACTGGGTTAGAAGAATGTGTGTTGACTAAAAGGATTGGTAGATCTGGGTTCCAGTCTTGATTTTTGTCACAAACTAGGTGCATGATATGCTGTGAAACCTTTCTATTATTCATAGCTTCTAATCTGTCAGGTAACAATAATATTTGTCACATTTTTCTTAAAGGATGTGAACTTTGTAACTTCCCTTGAGCCTCCATTTCCTCCTCAGTAAGTGGAGATAATAGGCACTGCCTTAGTGTTTTGTTTGAGGAATTAAATATAAGCAAATATCGCTGGGCTCAGCAAATAGAAAAGCTAAGTGAATGTTAGCTTACATTCTGCCATCTGACTCTTAGGGGATTGGTTTTATGGATGAACTTTAAATAAGTGCCACTTCAATTTTAAAGAACTTTATGCTTTGAAAATGCCTTTCTTTCTGGTATCTTTAATTTACCATTTGTCTATGAGTGGTCTTCATTGCAGGACCTTTTCCCAATTCTTCTAGCCTTTCCCCATATTAAAATTTCTAAACTATGGAAACTTCTTTCAGGTGACTCCATTGTTTTGCAAAGTTTCTTGCCCTGCTTTGATCATATTTTTACTACTGGATTCTCAACAGAAGTCTGGCAGTCTGTAATAGAAAAGTTGGCAAAGAAAGGATTATGGCATGTAAGTAAAAGGAGACTGCTCTCTTATGAGGAAAGTGCACTCTTGGTTAAATGATTTCTTTCTGTGGGCACAGAGGGATTGTAACTAATTATTTGTTTATCTTGATGCCACAATAACTTTTTAACTGGAACATCGTTAAAGATGGAAAGTCATTGAGATAATATTAATCATCCAGTTTCCATACTTTTAAGGTGGGAAAAATACTTAGTTTGTGGCAACCTCACTCCTTGCTCTGTTTGTCCATTATTATCAAAGAAACGTAAAGTCCAGATGCTAATGGTAATGTGGAATGAGGAAAATAAACAATTACATGTTCATCTTCATAATCCTTTTTTATACTGCATTAGCTAATGTGGATCCAGATGACCTATCTGTGGTGCTCAGAAGGATATCTGTGTAATTTTAAAGGACTGCTAACCTTTGGATAGCAGCTAATTGAAGTTGTAGGACCTGAACCCAGGGCCAGGAATCCATGGAATGGAGGAGCAGATGGACTGTGGAGCCTGGGCTTCAGTGTCACACAGATGTATTCATTATGAATCCTCCACTTTCTATTTTGGGCTAATTACTTCCCCTCTGAGTCTCATTTCCTCATTGTTAGTTGCAGCATATAAACCTATTCTTTTAAGGTTTTGGTGAGAATTGGAAATAACAGCCCAAACACCTAATAATAATTTTAGCTCTTTTTGTTGAAGGCTTACAATGTGCCAGGCACTGAGCTAAGGAGTCTTATAATACTTGACGTGTGCTAAGTGCCCAGTGAATAGTAGTTATTGATGATGGCTGTAAGCACTCATGAGAATGGCTGACCAAGGCTGGGAGTTTAGATAGAAAGGGTCTGCTGAGCTTTCTAAAGCTGGGAAGTTCAGAAAAGTCACCAAAAGGAAGGGCAACCTGTTAAGGACTCTAGATCCAGGCAGGTCAAATGACTTCAGAATAGAGAATTGTTAAATTTTTGGCAAGGTCATAGATTCCATTGGAAATCTAATGCAATCTACATGCACAGACAATTATGTGTATAGTTTTAGAGTGTTCATGGGAAACCCCTTAAAGTCCAGCCATGGGCTCCCTGGCAGGCGAGAATTCTACCACTGACCCACCCATGCGATGGGCTCCCTGAAGCTTACCCCCATATTAAAAGGTTGTGGGAGGGCAGACAGCAGGGATGAGGAAAGCAGACTGGACTCTTGGGGAACCAGGAGTCAGAAATCCAGGGCCCTGTTAAAAGACATTTGGGATGTTCTCCCTTTGGATAAGATGGCTTGACTGTGAGATATATGAGGATATTTCTAGCATTATTTTTAAAAAGTTCTGAAATGCTGTGATTCCAAGTGTTAGGGTAGATCTATGAGTAGGACTTTAAGGGGTTTCCCATGAACACTCTAAAACTATACACATAATTGTCTGTGCATGTAGATTGCATTAGATTTCCAATGGAATCTATGACCTTGCCAAAAATTTAACAATTCTCTATTCTGAAGTCATTTGACCTGCCTGGATCTAGAGT